TTAATACTTTTAGTAACTCCACACTTCCTCCTAATTTCCACACTACAAATTCTCTATATAATATTAACACCACACATTGCCCTTAGACACGACATCTCCACTGCCTCCAGGCTCCTCCTCACTGCAGCATTTACAACCCATGCTTCACACCCATATAAGAGTGTTGGTACCACTATACTCTCGTACATTTCCTTCTTTGCCACCATGGATAACATTTTTTGTCTCCACAGATAACTCAGAGCACCACTCACCTTTTTTCCTTCAACAATTCTGTGGTTAACCTCATCCTTCATAAACCTCTCTGATGACAAGTCAACTCCCAAATATCTGAAAACATTCACTTCTTCCATAATCCCTCCCTCCAATGTGATATCCAATTTTTCTTTAACTAAATAGTTTGATACCCTCATCACCTTACTCTTATCTATGTTCACCTTCAACTATCTTCCTTTACACACTCTCCCAAACTCATACACTAACCTTTGCAACTTTTCTTTAGAATTTCCCAAAAGAACAGTATCATCAGCAAAAAAGTAACTGTGTCAACTCACATTTTGTACAGTGAACCCTTGAATCTTGTCCCCCTTGAATATCATGAATTTTGGAAATCAGCGACTTTTCTCATCAAAATATTGGCTTGATTTTCATGATTTGGCTTAGAAATCGGCGAAATGCATCCAAGCAGCCTCCCAGCCACCGGAGGCACACAAACACCATTCAGTGTCAGTTTGGCATTGTATCTCGGCGAGTGACAATCACCTCACGCGTTCATACGATATATTTCTTAATATATTTCACTTGTTTTATTGCTTGCAACTGCTAAGTAAGCCACCATGGGCCCAAAAAAAGCTCCTAGTGCTAGCCCTTTGGTAAAGAAAGTGAGAAACACGATTGAAGTAAAGAAAGAGAACATAGAAAAATATGCAAGTGGAGTGCGTGTGGCGGAGCTCTCCAGGATGTACAGGAAGGCCCATTTAACCATCACTTCCATCGTGGCTAAGAAAAAGGAAATCAAGGAAGCTGATGTTGTTGATATGCTAACAAAAAAGAGACCGCAAATAATTGAAGATGCTGAGTTGTTGTTGTTGCTGGTGTGGATCAAACAAAAAGAGTTAGCAAGAGAGTGTTATGCAGTCGATAATTTGCGAAAAGGCAAGGCAGTTGCATGATAATGTCGTAAAGAAAAAGTCAGGAATGAGTGCTGATGTAGGTGAATTCAAGGCCAGCAAAGACTAGTTCGAAAATTTCAAGAAGCGAAGTGGCATACACAATGTTGTAAGGCTGGTGAGGCTGCTAGTTCAAACAAACATACAGCTGAAAAATTCATAAGTGAATTCAAGGACGTTGTAGAGGCTGAAGGATCTGTCCCGCCAACAAGTGTTCAGTTGTTAGGTAAGACACATATGCAACAGTTAGGTATCTTTATTTCGAAACGTTTCGCCTACACAGTAGGCTTCTTCAGTCGAGTACGGAAAAGTTGAGAGAAGCAGAAGATACTTGAAGACGATGTAATCAGTCCATCACCCTTGAAGTTTTGAGGTGGTCAGTCCCTCAGTCTGGAGAAGAGTATTGTTCCATAGTCTGAAACAATATGGAGTTGAAGTGACAGGATGGAGCCTTATATAACGCCAGGAGGTGAGATGTAGGCCACTAGCAGAGGTAAGAATGTTGTCGTTGGAAGGTCAGGTCCCTCTCAAATCCAGCCCTTCTCACTAGTAGAAGTTGACAAAGTTGATTTCAGGTCTGTACCAAGATACCCTTGTGTTGCAGTGTCTGACAGAGTGAACATTCAAATGGTATAAAATACCGACAGGTTGTTAGGCAAGACACATATGCAACAGTTAGGTATCTTTATTTTGAAACGTTTCACCTACACAGTAGGCTTCTTCAGTCGAGTACAGAAAAGTTAATAGAAGCAGAAGAAATCAACTTTGTCAACTTCTACTAGTGAGAATGGCTGGATTTGAGAGGGACCTGACCTTCCAACGACAACATTCTTACCTCTACTAGTGGCCTACATCTCACCTCCTGGTGTTATATAAGGCTCCATCCTGTCACTTGAACTCCATATTGTTTCAGACTATGGAACAATACTCTTCTCCAGACTGAGGGACTGACCACCTCAAAACTTCAAGGGTGATGGACTGATTACATCGTCTTCAAGTATCTTCTGCTTCTATCAACTTTTCTGTACTCGACTGAAGAAGCCTACTGTGTAGGCAAAACGTTTCGAAATAAAGATACCTAACTGTTGCATATGTGTCTTACCTAACAACCTGTCGGTATTTTATACAATTTGAATGTTCAAGTGTTCAGCTGTAACGAAACAGGCCTCTTTTGGAAGAAAATGCCAAAGAGGGCCTACATCATGCAGGAGGAAAAGGCACTGCCAGGACACAAGCCTATGAAAGACAGGCTAACTTTCATGTTGTGTGGTAATGCTAATGGGGATTTCAAAGTGAAGCCTTGACTAGTGTATCACTCTGAAAATCCCAGTGTGTTCAAGAAAAACAGTGTCATCAAGCCTAAATTGTGTGTGATGTGGAAGGCTAACAGTAAGCCATGGGTCACAAGGGACATTTTCCTTGATTGGTTCAATGAAGTGCTTGGCCCCAGTGTGAAGAAATACTTAATGGAAAATAAATTGGAACTCACATGCCTCCTGGTAATGAACAATGCTCCTGTTCATCCTCCAGACTTGGAAGAGCAAATGGTGAAGGAGTTTAATTTCATCACAGTGAAGCTTTTGCCCCCTAATACCACTCCTCTCCTCCAGTCTATGGACCAGCAGATCATTGCAAACTTCAAAAAAACTCTACACCAAAGCAATGTTTCAAAGGTGCTTTAACATAACCTCGGACTCTGAATTGACCCTAGGAGAGTTCTGGAAAGATCACTTCAATATCCTCCACTGCATAAACCTTATAGGTAATGCTTGGCAGGGAGTGACTTCCAGGACAATGAACTCTGCTTAGAGAAAATTGTGGCCAGAATGTGTCCTCAACAAAGATTTTGAAGAGTTTGAGGATGACCCTGAGGACCTTATGCCAGTTGTGGAATCTATTGTGGCATTGGGAAAGTCCATGGGGTTGGAGGTTAGTGGTGAGGATGTGGAAGAGTTGGTGGAGGACCACAATGAAGAGCTAACCACTGAAGAGCTGTCAGACCTTAATCTGCAACAGCAACAGACCACAGCTCAGGAAATTGCTTCAGAGGAGGAGGAGGAAGAGAGAAGGAAGAAGTTGCTTTCTTCAGAGATTAAGGAGATGTGTGCAATGTGGACTAGGATGGAAAAATTTGTGAAGGAACATCACCATGACAAAGCTGTTGCAGGCTGTGTATACAACATGTTCAATGACAATGTCTTGTTTCATTTTAGGCAAATTTTAAAGAAAGGCCAGAAACAGACCTTTCTGGAACAATTTTTTGAGCAACAGGGGTCCAGTGACTCTCAAGCTGGTCCTAGTTGCATTACAAAGCAAAGAAGGGAACCCCAGAAAAGGACTTGGTACCTGAAGTCTTTATGGAAGGGACTCCCCTTCCAAACAACAGTATAACTCTTCCATTCTCTCCCCTCCTCCACACATCAACAACTCTTCAAATAAAGGTAAGTGTCAATTTATTATTATTTTATTCTTCATGTCTCATTGTTTCTGTATAGATAAATGTACATTTAATGTAAAAAAAGATATTTTTTTATTACTTTTGGGTGTCTGGAACGGATTAATTTGATTTACATTATTTCTTATGGGGAAAATGATTTTGAAAATCATGAATTTTGAATTTCGGCGGAATCTCTGGAACGGATTAATCACGAAATTCAAGGGTCCACTGTATTTGATTCCCCATAATTTAATCCCACCCCTCTCCCCAACACCCTAGCATTTTCAGTGGTACCTCGAGTTTCGGCTATACGTAATTCGTTTCAGAAGGCTGTTCGAGTGCCGTTACCGAACGAATTTGTTCCCATAAGGAATAATGTAAATTAGATTAGTCCGTTTCAGACCCACAAAAATACACTTACAAAAGCACTTAAAATAATACACTTGCATAATTGTTCAAGTTGGAAGCTGTACAAAACTCTGGGTACCACTGTACTTCTTTTACAACCCCATCTATAAATAAGTTAAACAACCATGGTAACATTACACATCTCTGTCTAAGACCTACTTTTACTGGGAAGTAGTCTCCCTCTCTCCTACACACCCTAACCTGAGCCTCACTATCCACATAAAAACTCTTTACAGCATTTAGTAACTTACTACCTATTCCATACATTTGCAACATCTGCCACATTGCTCTCCTATCCACCCTATTATATGCCTTTTCTAAATCCATAAATGAAATGAAAACTGCCCTACCTTTTTCTAAATACTGTTCACATATATCCTTCAATGTAAACACTTGATCTACACATCCTCTACTCATTCTAAAGCCTCCTTGTTCATCTGCAATCCTGCTCTCTGTCTTACCTCTAATTCTTTCAATAATAACCCTACTATACACTTTGCCTAGTATACTCAGTAAACTTATTCCCCTATAATTTTTACAATCTGTTTTATTCCCCTTTCCCTTTTTCATAAAGGAACTATATACACTCTGGCAATCCCTAGGTACCTTCCCCTCTTTCATACATTTATTAAACAAAAATACCAACCACTCCAACACTATATCCCCCCCTGCTTTTAACATTTCTTTCATGATCCCATCAGTTCCAGCTGCTTTATCTCCTTTCATTCTACATAATGCCTCACACACCTCCCCCACACTCACATCTGGCTCTTCTTCACTCCTAGAAGATGTTATACCTCTCTGGCCAGTACAGGAAATTACTGTCTCCCTCTCTACATCAACATTTAAAAGTTCCTCAAAATATTCCTGCCATCTTCCCAATACCTCCAACTCCCCATCTACTAACTCCCCTATTCTGTTTTTTAACTGACAGATCCATTCATTCCCATATAAAAATATGATTAAAATGTCCAAATATGAACACTTACCTTCATCATCTTCCATATCTGTAGTCTCCACATTCGTAAAGGTGGTAACATTTTCATGGTTAAATTCAGACACCAAATTTAATCCTGATCTCTCAGAAAATGGAAAGAATCTTGCCAAGAAGAGAAGAATTCGACCACAAAACACTGTATTTTGGGAGCGCGAGAGTCGGCGCAAAAGATCTGAAAAATACCAAATACATATTAATGAAGATTCTATACAACAGTTTAGTACAGTGGACCCTTGAGTAACAATTTTAATCCTTTCCAGAGAGCTTGTCCTTAACTGATTTTATGATTAGCCAAATTAATTTTCTTCATAAGAAATAATGGAAATCCAATTAATCCGTTCCAGACACCCAAAAGTATTAAAAAAAAAAATTTCACATGAAATATACAATTTCCTACACAGAAAAAAAATGATACATGAAGAATAAATACTACATGAAGAATAAATACAACATGAGGAATAAATGACACTTACCTTTATTGTATAAGGGCAAGGAGGAATAACATCTTGTAGGAGTGAGGAACAGCCAGCTGTGAGTGTGGTAGAAGTTTGTGAGGCAGCGGCTAGAATGAAAGGGGGTAAGGCAGCTGGAATTGATGGAATAAAGATAGAAATGTTAAAAGCAGGAGGGGATATAGTTCTGGAGTGGTTGGTGCTATTATTTAATAAATGTATGGAAGAGGGTGAGGTACCTAGGGATTGGCAGAGAGTATACATAGTTCCTTTGTATAAAGGCAAAGGGGACAAAAGACAGTGCAAAAATTATAGGGGAATAAGTCTATTGAGTATACCTGGTAAAGTGTATGGTAGAGTTATTATTGAAAGAATTAAGAGCAAGACCGAGTAGGATAGCAGATGAACAAGGAGGCTTTCGGAAAGGTAGGGGGTGTGTAGACCAACTGCTTACAGTGAAACATATATATGAACAGTATTTAGATAAGGGTAAAGAGGTTTTTGTGGCATTTATGGATTTAGAAAAGGCATATGACAGGGTGGATAGGGGGGCAATGTGGCAGATGTTGCAGGTGTATGGTATAGGAGGTAGGTTACTGAAACCAGTGAAAAGTTTTTACGAGGATAGTGAGGCTCAGGATAGAGTATGTAGGAGGGATGGAGATTATTTTCCAGAACAAGTAGGCCTTAGACAAAGATGTGTGATGTCACAGTGGTTGTTCAATATATTTATAGATGGGGTTGTAAGAGAAGTGAATGCGAGGGTCTTGGCAAGAGGTGTGGAGTTAAAAGATAAAGAATTAAACACAAAGTGGGAGTTGTCACAGTTGCTCTTTGCTGATGACATGGTGCTTTTGGGAGATTCTGAAGAGAAGCTGCAGAGGTTGGTGGATGAATTTGGTAGGGTATGTAAAAGAAGAAAATTAAAAGTGAATACAGGAAAGAGTACGGTTATGAGGATAAAAAGATTAGGTGATGAAAGATATCAGATTGGAGGGAGAGAGTATGGAGGAGGTGAATGTATTCAGATATTTGGGAGTGGACGTGTCAGCAAATGGGTCTATGAAGGATGAGGTGAATCACAGAATTGATGAGGGGAAAAGGGTGAGTGGTGCACTTAGGAGTCTGTGGAGACAAAGAACTTTGTCCGTGGAAGCAAAAAGGGGAATGTATGAGAGTATTGTTGTACTAACACTCTTGTATGGGTGTGAAGCATGGGTGATGAATGTTGCAACGAGGAGAAGGCTGGAGGCAATGGAGATGTCATGTCTGAGGGCAATGTGTGGTGTGAATATAATGCAAAGAATTCGTAGTTCGGAAATCAGGAGGTGTGGGATTACAAAAACTATTATCCAGAGGGCTGAGGAGGGGTTGTTGAGGTGGTTCGGACATGTAGAGAGAATGGAACAAAACAGAATGACTTCGAGTGTATAAATCTGTAGTGGAGGGAAGGCAAGGTAGGGGTCAGCCTAGGAAAGGTTGGAGGGAGGGGGTAAAGGAGGTTTTGTGTGCGAGGGGCTTGGGCTTCCAGCAAGCGTGCATGAGCGTATTTGATAGGAGTGAATGGAGACAAATGGTTTTTAATACTTGATGCGCTGTTGGAGTGTGAGCAAAGTAACATTTATGAAGGGATTCAGGGAAACCAGCAGGCCAGACTTGAGTCCTGGAGATGGAAAGTACAGTGTCTACACTCTGAAGGAGGGGTGTTAATGTTGCAGTTTTATAACTGTAGTGTAAAGCACCCCTCTGGCAAGACAGGCCAAGGCAGGCCACCCTGCCTTGGTGCGAATTGGCCGATGTGTTAATAAAATAATAATGATGATGAGATGGGAAGAGGGGAGATGATGGAGGTATATTATTGTTTGGAAGGGGAATCCCCTTCCATAAGGACTTTAGATACCAAGTCCTTTTTCGGGGTTACTTCCCTTCTTTTTTTAATGCCACTGGGAATAACTTGACAGTCATTGGACCTTTGTTGCACCAAAAATCTGTCGACAGAGCTCTGTTTCTGGCATTCCTTTAACCCTTTCAGGGTCCGTCCCGTAGATCAACGGCTTTACGTTCAGGGTCCAAACCGTAGATCTACGCCATGAGCTCAGCTCACTCTGATAAACTGTGAGTGGTACATTTGGGCCTAGATATGAGAGAATACATCTATGTGGTATGTGTGCACCACATAAAACAGATCCTGCAGCACACTGTGTATAATGAGAGAAAAAAAATGAAATCATGATTTTTCGATTAAAACAGCAACTTTGCAGTGTTTTTTCGTATGTTTTTTATAGTTGTATTTGCGATTTCTTGGTCTCATTTGATAGAATGGAAGACATATTACAGAAATAGAGATGATTTTGATTGGTTTTAGCACTGGAAATGGCTTGAAACTGAGCTCAAAGTAGCAGAAATGTTAAATTTTTGCCGATATTCAAGAGTAAACAAACGACCTCACACGTCTAATACACGCCAGCTGGTGGGTCTAATATAAATTCACAAATATGGTGATGATATTTATACAATTATTACAGTATTGCATAACAGTAAATCTTCTATTTTTTGGTGTGAATAAAAATTCATTATGTGAATAAAAAATCAAAATGGAATTTATTTGTAAAGCCTCAAAACATACCTAATGAACAGAGGAAATGTTAGTTTAGTGCCAGGAATGCCTACATTGTTCATTCTGGACCCTATTTTGAAATTGGAATATTTTGAACTTTGTGTTAAATTGGCCAAATTAACAATTTCCGATCACTTTATTTTGTAGTTGAAACAGTTGACTTGGCGATTTCTTGTGCTCAATCGATAGAATAGAAGTAATACTAGTGAAATAGCTAAGAATTTGGTTGATTGGAATAATGTAATTGGCCTAAAATGGGAGTCAAAGTCGGCAAAATCGCCGATTCGTAAATATCGCTGACACATCAAAATTCGCGAGCATAATTTCGTCAATTTTCCACCAAATTTCGTACTTTTTGTTTTATTACCTTCACAAAAAAATTCTCTACGATTTCATAAGAAAAAATAACAAATTTTTTTTTTGAAAATTCTTGGACACTGGTGCGTGACTCCAGATTTGGGCCTTGGACCCTGAAAGGGTTAAGATTTTCCTAAAATGGGCCACAACACTGTCATCGTAAAAGTTACCAGCACGGCTTGCAATAGCTGTGTAAGGGTGATGTTCATCCATAAAGGCTTGCACCTTTGTCCACATTGTACAAATGTCCTTAATCATTGAAAAAGGCAACTTCCTTCATCTCTCTCTCCCCTCCTCTGAAGCAATTTCCTTAGTTGTGGTGTCTTGCTGTTGCAGATGCTCTTGCAGCTCATCAGTGGTTAGCTCTTCATCGTCATCCTCCACTAACTCTTCCACACCCTCCCTACTAACCTCCAACCCCATGGACTTCCCCAATGACACAATAGATTCCACAATTGGTATAGGCTCCTCAGGGTTAGCCCTAAACCCTTCAAAATCCCTCTCTTATACACATTGCAGCCACAATTTCCTCCAAGCAGAGTTCAAAGTCCTGCAAGTCACTCCCTCCCAAGCCTCACCTATAAGGTTTATGCAACTGAGGATACTAAACTGATCTTTCCAAAACTCTCTCTTAGGTCAATTCAGTCTCTGAGGTCACTTCAAAGCACTTTTGAAACACTGCTTTGGTGTACAGTTTTTTAAAATTTGAAATACCTACTGGTCCATGGGCTGGAGGAGAGGAATTGTGTTAGGAGGCAAAAATTTCACTTTTATGAAACTCAACTCCCCCACATTTCACTCTTGCAAGTCTGGAGGATGAGCAGGAGCATTGTCTAATACCAGGAGGCACTTGAGGTCCAATTTATTTTCCAAGAGGTATTTTTTCACAGTGGGGCCAAACACATGATAGAACCAATCATGGAAAATGTCCCTAGTGGCCCATGCCCAGGGCCGGATTACCGTATAGGCAAACTAGGCATTTGCCTAGGGCCCCGCGCATTTGGGGGCCCCGCGGTCCAAGGGGTTCAGGGGCTCATCCAAGACTGCGCACATGGTGCAAGTGCAAAGGGATCCCTACTTAAAAAGTTCAAGTGTTTGGAGAGTAAAATTGATTTTTAAAAATTAATCAAAACAAAAATAAATAATGAAATAAAAATAAAATAAAAATAAATAAACCTAACCATAGATGGCAACACTCAACACGCCTTTGTTTACATCAGAACAGCTGTGTTTTCCTGCTAATGGGTGAGTATGGGAGATTCCTCTCCAATTTTCTGTAGTAATTACACATAATGATTAGTTTAGTTATGAAAATGGTAATATAAATACATGTACCATTGTGCATTGTTCTTGGACTCAGTATGATTCACTGATTACAGAACTGGTGAAAAGAAAAGAAATCTACCAGAATCTCAATGACAAGTTTGGATTTCTGTTCAAAATTACTACTATGCCAGATGCAGAATTGAGTGAAGCTGCATTAAAGTTGCAACAACACCTTTCAGCAGATGTTCAGGACACATTTGTTGAAGAAATAGTTCATTTTTCTGGGTATATGAATCAGATTAAAGCTCCACCTGAAAAATGTGCACCCTCAGCTGCTTTGAAACATTTAAGAAATGCAGGTATCTCAGAAACCTTCCCTAATGTTGACATAGTGTATCGCCTTTACCTAACACTTCCAGCTACTAACTGTGAAGGAGAACGTTCATTTTCTGTTTTGAAAAGAGTGAAAAACCAGCTCCGTTCAACAATGAGCCAAAACAAATTGTGTAACCTAGCCTTGTTGACCATTGAGTCCGATCTAACAAGAAATACTGATTTTCAGAATATAATTGATGATTTTGCCAATATGAAATCCAGAAAAAAGTTTATTTAAGAAGCGCCTGTGAATATAAACAATTCTTTACTTTCTTGAGTTTATATGATTTGATAGTCTTATGCATGATGCAATGATAACAATAATGGTCAGTGATTTATAAAGGGAATAATAGTGCTGTAGTGGTTATGCTGAATATAATAGGTATATGATGTCACTACTTTAATAGCCTAATCTAGTAATACTATGCTGTCTTGAGTTTATTCTTTTTAAAATGCATGATTTAACAAGATAGTTATAATGGCTGTTGGTAAATGGTTTTGGTTGTCTTGATGTACTTTCCCTATTAAATTTAATCTAAATAGCCAGAATGTATTTAATTAGACCTTAAACAGGCTCACACCGACACCCCCCCCCCAAGCTGGAAGGGGTCGCTTCACTTACCCGTAACTCAAAGGGGCCCCACCAATCTGAATAGCCTAGGGCCCGGAGACTTTTTAATCCGGCCCTGCCCATGCCTTACTGTTTGCCTTCCACATCACACAAATTAGCCTTGATGACACTGTTTTTCTTGAATACTCTGGGATTTTCCGAGTGATACATGAGTAAAGGCTTCACTTTGCAATCCCCATTAGCATTACGTACTACAAAACATTAGAGTTAGCCTGTCTTTCTTAGCTTGTGTCCTGGCAGTGCTTTTTCCTCCTGTTTGGCATTTTCTTCCAAAACAGGCCTGTTTCATCACAATTAAACACTTGTTAGGGTTTTAATTTTTCAGTGTCTATGTACTCCTTGAATTCCTGCACACATTTTTTAGCCGCTTTTTGGTCACAACTGGCAGCCTCGCCATGCCTTATCACACTGTGTATGCCACTACGATTCTTAAATCTCTCAAGCCAACTTTTGCTGGCCTTAAAATCACTAACATCAACACTAGGTCCAGGCATTTTCTTAACGAGATCTGCATGCAACTGCCTTGCCTTTTCACATACGACTGACCTACATAGACGACCTACTTGCACATTGGACAAATGTGACACCACCTATGACTGCTGCACCTCTCCTGCCTAAGGTGTATAAGCTACTTCTCTGCACATATGCTGTATTCTATTCAAGATTGATGGACTGACCACATCGACTCAAGGTTGAGGGACTGATTACCTCATTCTCCTCCTGTTCTTCATGTTTCTCCTTTGTATGGACTGATGAAACCACTGTGTGGCGAAACATTTCCTCAATAAAGATACCCAAGAGTTGCACATGTGTCTAATTAATCAACGTGTCGGTTCTCTGAACCATTCATCTACAACAGCTTCCTTGACTGCCTTTCTGTTGGCCAAGATAGTAGCGATGGTTGATTGGGGTTTGTTATACAACCGGGCCAGCTTGGAGGCACGCACTCCATTTTCATACTTTGCGATTATCTCTTTCTTCAATTCGATAGTATTTCTCACCCTTTTTGCCACAGGGTTGGCACTACAATCTTTTTTTGGGCCCATGGTGGCTTATTTAGCAGTTACAAGTACTAAAAACAATGGAATAATACAAAATGTATTGAATGTATGCATGGAACCATCTGCACTGGCTTGTAAACAATGGCACACTAGCTGAAGGCAGGGCAGCTGAGGCGCACTCAGGTTGGACGGACAGGCGGACGTGTTCGGGACGATTGTCCTTAACTGAGTTTTTCATCGTTGGCCAAGCCAATATTTTTAAGCTAAAACGCATCGCTATCCGATGTCATCGTTACCCAAGGGTCCACTGTATAAATAACCCATGAAATCATAATAACATCATTGTAAACAAAATGCAGTAAGTTTTACAAATCGCTTCCCATGAGTTCTAACCACACCATACCATGGTTTATTATAAATAATTTGCTGTTTAGAGTTGATATTAGCATCACATTTAAGTATTTTGTCCTGTCTCCAAACAATAAACTCTCCTCCCTCTCCCCTCCTCACCATTTTTCATATGCCAACAAGAGTCTTCAATTAATGTAAAAATGATGTTAAATGTTCAATTATCCATTTTATTAGAATAAACAATGCAGGCATTCCTGGCACTAAACTAACATTTCCTCTGTATTAGTCATGTTTTCAGGCTTTACAAATGAATTCCATTTTGATTTTTAATTCACATAATGAATTTTTATTCAAACCAAAAAATAGAAGATTTACTGTCATGCAATATTATAATAATTATATAAATAATATCAGCACATTTGTGAATGTATATTAGACCCACCCACTGGTGTGTATTAGATGTGTGAGGTCATTTGTTTTACTCTTGAACATCGGCAAAAATTTAATATTTCCGCTACTTTGAGCTCAGTTTCAAGCCATTTTTAGTACTAAAACCAATCAAAATCTCTATTTCTGTAAGATATCTTCCATTCTATCAAATGAAACCAAGAAATTGCAAATACAACTATAAAAAGCGTACGAAAAACACTGCAAAGCTGCTGTTTTAATAGAAAATTACGATCTCAGTTTTTTTCTCTCATTATGCACTGTGTGCTGCAGGATTTGTTTTATGTGGTACACACATACCACATAGATGTATTCTCTCATATCTAGGCCCGAATTTACCACTCACAACTTATCAGAGTGAGCTGAGCTCATGGCGTAGATCTACAGTTTGGACCCTGAAAGGGTTAATCTTTAACCCTTAAACTGTCCATACATAGATCTACAATGATGTGCATAGTGCTCCAAATGTAGATCTAAGTCCGATTTTACATGCTTTCAAATGAAAAAATCAAGGTCGGAGCGCTACGCACGTCAATGTAGATCTATGCTTGGACAGTTTAAGGGTTAAGAAATGTATTTTTTGTTAATATTTTTGGGTGTCTTGAATGGATTAACTGTATTTACATTAATTCTTATGAGAAATATTACTTGGGTTTTGGCCTTTTCGGATTTAGGCTGACCTTCTGGAACGGATTATGGCTGAAATCCGGGGTTCCACTGTACTTCTGTACTTGTTATATCAAACATGCTTGCTTAACGTTTAGTTCCTTATAATGATTATGCTATGAAAACCAGTAGAGGACAACAAATTGCCAAAATAGTTTTAAATTCAAGCACATCTTACATGATGGAAAAAAACAGTTTCTGGAAAAACAATTTGTAACTTACCATTACACATGCGAAGTACCATGGTTTTACAAGGTGTGAAGAATGTGTCCTCTTTCCAGACACCAACATTACTTTCAACAAAAGAGAAGAGTTGCTCGCACTGTTTGATAGTAAGCATGTCAAAAGAATCGGTGAGCACCAGCACAGGCAGGGTCGGGAGGCTTAACTCGTGGCGCACTAATTCTATGCATACCTGAAAATATTAAATTAAAAAGAACAAAAAGGCACAATACAATGACTGGAATAATACACAAATAACCGACACATAGGAGAGTGACTTTTTGTCATGTGACTTTGTAAATGGTTCAAGTCGGACTGAAACATCGTCGTGAGCTTCTCTTTCCTATGTGCGAGTTATCTGTGTATTAAATAAAATTTATAACCAACCTACTTAAGCTCTTATATCTTAATTACATCAAATCTTTGATATAGTGAACATCAATATAACAGACAAAATCCACTGGGTAGACTGTACAATAGGTTAGGTTAGGTAAGGTTAGTCAGGAAACAGGACAAATGTTTCCTGACGCGGGTCTTAGTCAGATGATGACCCGCCTTTGGAGCTTTTGGTCATCTGACCGAGGCCTTCCGCTGGCTTACTGGTCCACCCCTTTAAAAATTATGGTTATTTATAACCATTGTCTGTCTATTGCATTATATCTGTAAATTGTGTGTACAGTACCTGTACTACATCATGCAGACAGTACAGTATTTCTGTGCTTTTTCTGTGATTCTTAACGTAATACTGAGTTAATGGACACTCAGACAACACCCCTTACTAGTCTGCTATATAGAAATTATATATTTTAACACCATGTACAGTGGCCAGTCTTGGTGCTGAGGATATACAATTAGTGACTGTGTTGTTACAAACTAGCTGCAATACAGCACTAGTGACAGTGTTAGAAACTAGCTGCAAAACAGCACTAGTGACAATGTTGTTAGGAACTAGCCACAATACAGCATTAGTGGCAGTGTTAGAAACTAGCCACAATACATCATTAGTGACAGTGTTAGAAACTAGGTGCAATACAGCACTAGTGACAGTGTTGTTAGAAACTAGCCACAATAAAACACAAGTAACAATGTTGTTAGAAACTAGCTGCAACACAACACTAGTGACAGTGTTGTCAGAAACTAGCCACAATAAAACACAAGTGACAATGTTGTTAGAAACTAGCTGCAACACAACACTAGTGACAGTGTTGTTAGACACTAGCCACAATACAGCACTAGTCACATTGTTGTTAGAAACTAGCTGCAACACAGCACTAGTGACAGTGTTGTTAGACACTAGCCACAATAAAACACTAGTGACAATGTTGTTAGAAACTAGCTGCAACACAGCACTAGTGACAGTGTTGTTAGACACTAGCCACAATAAAACACTAGTGACAGTGATGTTAGAAACTAGCTGCAACACAGCACTAGTAACAGTGTTGTTAGAAACTAGCCACAATACAGCACTAGTGACAATGTTGTTAGAAACTAGCTGCAACACAGCACTAGTGACAGTGTTGTTAAAAACTAGGCACAATAAAACACTAGTGACAGTGTTGTTATGAACTAGCTGCAACACAGCACTAGTGACATTGTTAAAAACTAGCCACGATACAGCACTAGTGATGGTGTTGTTAGAAACTAGTCACAATACTGCACTAGTGACAGTGTTGTTAGAAACTAGCTGCAACACAACACTAGTGACAGTGTTGTTAGAAACTAGCTGCAACACAACACTAGTGACAGTGTTGTTAGAAACTAGCTGCAACACAGCACAAGTGACAGTGTTATTAGAAACTAGCCACAATAAAACACTAGTGACAGTGTTGTTAGAAACTAGCTGCAACACAGCACTAGTGATAGTATTGTTAGAAACTAGCCACAATAAAACACTAGTGACAGTGTTGTTAGAAACTAGCCACAATACAGCACTAGTGATAGTATTGTTAGAAACTAGCCACAATACAGCACTAGTGACATTGTTAGAAACTAGCCACAATGCAGCACTAGTGACAGGGTTGTTAGAAATTAGCCACAATACAGCACTAGCGACATTGTTAGAAACTAGCCACAATACAGCACTAGTGACAGTGTTGTTAGAAATTAGCCACAATACAGCACTAGTGACATTGTTAGAAACTAGCCACAATACAGCACTAGTGACAGTGTTGTTAGAAGTTAGCCACAATACAGAACTAGTGACAGTGTTGTTAGAAATCAGCCACAATACAGCACTAGTGACAGTGCTGTTAGAAACTAGCCACAATACAGCACTAGTGACATTGTTAGAAACTAGCCACAATACAGCACTAGTGACATTGTTAGAAACTAGCCACAATACAGAACTAGTGACAGTGTTGTTAGAAATCAGCCACAATACAGCACTAGTGACAGTGCTGTTAGAAACTAGCCACAATACAGCACTAGTGGCATTGTTAGAAACTAGCCACAATACAGCAGTAGTGACAGTGTTATTAGAAACTAGCCACAATACAGCACTAGTGACCATGTGGTTAGAAACTAGCCACAATAAAACACTAGTGACAGTGTTGTTAGTAACTATCTAGGCTGGAATATTGCTGCACACTAACAGCACCTTTCAAGGCAGGTGAAATTGCTGACCTAGAAAATGTACAGAGAACCTTCATGGTACACATAAGTATGATACAACTAAATTACTGGGAATGGTTGAAGTTCCTCGAGTTGTGTACCCTGGAATGCAGGCGGGAGAGATACATGATAATATACACTTGGAAAATCCTAGAGGGATTAGCACCAAATTTGTACATGAAAATTGCTCCCTATGAAAGCAAAAGACTCAGCAGACGATGCAACTTCCCCCAATGAAAAGCAGGGGTGCCACTTGAACGATAAGAGACAACACAATAAGTTTCTGAGGCCCAAGACTGTTCAATTGCCTCCCAGCATACATAAGGGGGATTACCGATAGACCCCTGGCTGTCTTCAAGAAGGCAATGGACAGGCACCTAAAGTTAGTACCTGATCAGCTGGGCTGTGGTTCATACCTCGGTTTATGTGCAGCCAACAGTAACAGCTTTGTTGATCAGGCCCTGATTCACCATGAAGCCTGGTCACAGACCAGGTCATGGGGACACTGACCCCCAAAACCTTCTCCAAGTACAGTGGACCCCCGGTTTACGATCAGCTCCCAATGCGACCAATTATGTAAGTGTATTTATGTAAGTGCGTTTGTATGTGTATGTTTGGGGGTCTGAAATGGACTAATCTAATTCACAATATTCCTTATGGGAACAAATTCGGTCAGTACTGGCAGCTGAACATCTGGAAAGAAATAATATCGTAAACCGGGAGTCCACTGTATACTCTAGGTATCAACACAGCACTAGTGACATTGTCAGAAACTGGCCATGATACGGCACTAGTGATGTTAGAAACTAGCCATGATACAGCACTAGTGACATTGTTAGAAACTAGCCATGATACAGCACTAGTGACAGAAACTAGCCATGATACAGCACTAGTGATGTTAGAAACTAGAAATAATACAGCACTAGTGACAGTGATGTAAGAAACTAGATGTAATACAGCAATAGTGACAGTGCTGTTGAAATCTAGTCCAATTACAGCATTAGTGACAGTGCTGCTAGAAACTGCAGCAGTAACACGATGCTAATTAGTAACAGTTTCATGAGAAACTGAAACCTTAATAATACGGTAACAGTGTTGTGAAAAACTAAAGCATTAATACAATGCCTCCGAGAGGGAGCTCGACAGATACTTAAAGCTGGTGTTGGATCCGCCGGGCTGTAGTTCATATGTTGGACTATGTGCGGCCAGCAGTAACAGTCTGGTTGATCAGACCCTGATCCACTGGGAGACCTGATCGGGGACATTGATCCTCGGAATACCCTCCAGGTAGACTCCAGGTAGTGATAGTGAGAGTGTTGTGAAAAACTGAAACTATGATACTCTGATGACTAAAAACAGTTTCACAAGGATCTTTGACACTGATATAGTAGTTATTAGTACAGTAGGGCCCCTGCTTCATGGCGTTCCACTAATATGGCGATTTCAAGTTATGACCAAAACTATACGGTAACCCGTCTTTCTAATACGGCGTGTCCCACCTAGTTTGTTTACATTCTCAGCGAGCACATTTCTATTATGACTGGAAACTTTAAAAAATTTCAAGTGTTTTAACCCTTTCACTGTTGAGATCCCAGATCCTGAACTCACTCTCAGTGTCGAAGAATTTAAAAAAAAAAAAAAATCTTATGAAATGATAATCTTTTCCAGATGGTAATGATATGAAAAGTATGAAATTTGATGGAAAACTTACAGAATTACACTCTTGTGAAGTTAGTGGCCTCTGCAATATGTACACACTGGCAATTTTACCCACTTTGAGTGATATTTTCAGCCAAATCCATTGTTCTAGTCGACTAAAATCATAGCTATTTTGCTAGAACTCCATTTGTTCTATTGATTCAATACAAGAAATCGCCCATTTACCAATTTCAACTACCCAATAAAGTGGTCAGAAATTGGCAATTTGGCCAATTTCATGCAAATTTCAAAATAGGGTCCAGCATAAACAATTCAGACATTCTTGGCACTAAAATAACATTTTCTCAGTTCATTAGTCACATCTCCAGGTCCCTCTTATATTACCCTTGCTTTCCATTTTGAATTTTTATTCTCACAAAAAGAAAATAGAAGATTTACTGTTATGCAGACTACTGCATTATTATACAATTGTACAAATAATGTCAACCCTTTTGTGACTGCATATCAGACTGGCCAGTTGGATACATATTGGACGGTGACATCACTTGTTTACTCTTGAATATCGGCAAAAATTTAACATTTCTGCTACTTTGAGCTCAATTTCAAGGTACTTTTCATCATGGAACCAATCAAAATCATCTTCGTTTCTGTAATATATCTTCCATTCTATCAAATGAGACCAAGAAAACGAGAATACAACCATAAATACCATACAAAAATACACCTCAAAGTCGGCGTTTTAATCCAAAAACACGGTCAGTTTTTTTTTTTCATTATGCACTGTGTGTTGCAAGATTTTTTTATACTGTGCACAATGACCATGCAGACTCATTCTCTCATATGTAGGCCTACCAGCTTTCTCCTGCTAGATTTGAAGCCACTAGAATTTTGGGGTATTAATACATCACCAACACCGGCTCGTAA